GCTGAGCGGCGGCAGCGGGGACTCCGTTCACAGACTCTGTCCCGCCGCCGCCATTTCCCGCCGCTGCCGATGAGGCCCCCACAGCCTCGCGACGCCCTGCCCGGCACACTCACCATTTCCCCACTTCAGGGGATCCGGGAGTCTTAGCTACAAATCATCCAATACCCGCTGGTCACTGAGCGACGGGAGGCTGAGGCTGCTGCCGAATCCCCGAGGCCTCCCGGAGCCGAAGACGCACACAACTGAAGCCCTAACCCAAGCCCTGGCAGGAGCCAGAGGAAAAGGCCCCGCCAGATCCCGGAAGCCACCGCCTCCTCTCTGGCTGCGCGCCTGATTGGGCAGTTCTCAGTCCGACACTCTGATTGGATAATACTCCAATCCCCGCCCTCGGGCCTTGAGTAACAGAATTCGCGACCACACACTCCACTGATGAGGCAAGAGTGACAAGCTGGGGCCTCCAGGCCCTTTCAGGCAGGGCTTTCTCTCCGGGCTTGACCTGAAGCAGCCCAGGGGTCTCTTTTTGACCTTGTGTGTAAGGTTATGTCCACTTATAAAATACACGCACGCACGGACACACAGACGTACACACACGCGCGCACACGCAGATACGGACGCACACACACACGCGCATGCACAGGCACACACTTTTTCACAAGTGGAAGCAATATAATGACAATTATTTTAATATTTTAGATTTCATAACCCTTCTGGCCGCTAGTCTTTTGAGTAGGACACCTGATTTAAGAGGGAAGCAATCCTCTAAAATATAAAATGTTAGCTGTTTGTGAATTTTCCGATTTTATTAGCCACGTCAAAAATAATTTTTAGAGTGAAATTGTTGGTAATAATTTTTAATCCATTGTATCCAAAATATTGTATTAATATGTGATCAATATACAATTAGAAATAAAGTATGTTTCTGATCTAATTCTTCTACACTCACGGTGTATTTTATGTTTGCAGCACATTTTACTTCAAACCAGTCACATTCCAGGTGCCCAGTAGCTACATATGGCAGGTGGCTGCCACATTGAGCGCAGCCATGAGGGCCTCTCTTCCCTCAGGGAAGTGAGGGCCTGAACACTTCTTTTCCGCTGGAAGTAAGGGACCAGCCTCTCTACCAACTTTTCTCAGGCTCAAGGGTGGGTGGGACAGTGCCCCCGGAGAGACCAGGGGCTGCAAGCTGAGAGTATCCACGTGAAGACCACGGTTTCCCAGTTACTGTTTGGTGGAGATGTGGTGGTCTCCTTGATTGAGCCAGGTCGGAACTCTTGTGCCACGACCAAAAAAAATGAAGCACACGGGTGCCAGAGAGTGAATAAGGCAAAGTAAGATTTATTAAGCAAAAGGAAAGTTCTCAGAAGCAAGAGGGGACCTGAAAGCAGGTTGCCAGAAATGAGGCTGAGGTCTAGGTCTTTTATGTGGCAAGAACAAGTATGTCTTCTGTGGGTTCTGCCCAAATGGGATGGGTAAAGTTCCCCACTAAGGGTGTTGCATCTGCGGATGCTTGGGATTGGCCACAGTGACTCCATTTTGGTTGTTACCCATGAGTGCCTAAGTGAAACTTGGGGTGGGGGGTAGCTAAAACCACAATGCTAATGTCATGTTAATGACCTTATAATGAGCTGGGTCAAGTTAAAGACACTTAGGTTGATTTATTGCGCCTGTGCCTAAGTTGGGACAGTCCCTTTGGAGCAACATCCTGGCCTTAGAGGAAGTTCTTAACCACATTTCTTCCCGCTAGCTACAGGGGTGGTGCAGGTGCGGTCCTACAGGTGTTTTCCTTCTCCCCAGACCCTCTGTCTCTACCTGCCTAACCAGCCTCCGACCACCTCCTCTATCAAAGGTTCCTCTTCCTTTCAAATACCAGACAGTAAACAAAGAATGTTGGGGCCACGGGAGGAGAGAGCACCATGTCTTCAGATCTCTTCACCGCCTTGTCCTCCAGAGTTTAGAAGTGGAGGGAAAAGATTAAAGGCAATCTTCTTGTTTTGCTTTTTATCTTTGGACCTAATTGTCAGGCTGTAACTGTGTGTTTTTGTGCTGTGGTGTGGGGCACTGTGTGAGTTTAAGCACCAATCACATGCATCCACATCTACCTGTACTTCTGTTCCCAGAAGGAAGACCGTGAGTGAGTTGTCCAGGTCCTTGGCAACTTGAACAAATAATTGAACAAAATGCACAAAGTAACAAAGGAACACAGGAAGGAAGCATCAAAAGCAGAAATTTATTAAGGTAAGGATAAAGTGGGTGTGGGCTTGAGCAAATGACTCAAGGTCGTGGTTACGAAGTTTTCTGGGTTTTAACTACTCCTTTTGAGGTCCCTGTCAGCTACTACTGATCTGGATGAAGGATTTGGTCCGTGGCTAACTAAAGGCTTAGGTAAATTGGCACCCTATGCAGATGAAGGGATGGCTGGTGCTTGGCCTGCAGCCACTCCAAGGCACCTTCCCTTTCCATCTGAGATGTGGTAGAAGGGGAAGGGTTGTAGGGAGAGTAGCCTTTGAGCCTTTGCTACTCAGGTGTGGGGAGATGGGATTTTTTTCTTTTGGTTTAGCTGTTGGAAGTTTGCCTTAATTGGCCTTAGGGTCCCTGCCTCCAGACCTTGGTTTTTTTTTCTTTTAGGAAGTCAGCACAAATTGGCCTTAAGTTCTCTGCCTCCAGACCCCATTCTCCTGCCTCCCTTCTGTACAAACCATTAGTCATACATAGTTCATCCTAAACTCACCTGGTAATTGGGGAGGTCTTCTGTGTACACTGGTTAGTTATATGTGAAGAAACAATAAACTTCCAACATCACGATAGAAGGCAGTTTTGCAACGTAGAGCCAGGTGCCTGTTGCAGGTAAGCCTACCTTACTTTCAGCTCTAAGTCACTCTCAATCTCTTACAGAAACAGAGAGATAGGGTACTATCATCTTGGCTATATATATATATATATATATATATATTTTTTTTTTTGAGACGGAGTCTTGCTCTGTTGCCCAGGCTGGAGTGCAGTGGTGCGATCTCGGCTCACTGCAAGCTCTGCCTCCTGGGTTCACGCCATTCTCCTGCCTCAGCATCCCGAGTAGCTGGGACTACAGGTGCTCGCCATCACACCTGGCTAATTTTTTTGTATTTTTAGTAGAGACGGGGTTTCTCCATGTTAGCCAGGATGGTCTTGATCTCCTGACCTTGTGATTCGCCCACCTCAGCCTCCCAAAGTGCTGGGATTACAGGCGTGGGCCACCGTGCCAGGCTGGCTATTTATATTTCAAAGCAATGGATACCTACTCCCTAAGCCCTGGGCTGCAGCAATTCTGCTTGCCCTCTCCTGGTGGCCTGTGTCCTCTCCCAAACCCTGCCATCTACCACTGAGGCACAGCCCACAGCTGGCAGCTCACATTTTACATGGAACACAACTGCCACAGATGCACTGCAGTGCCGCGTTACAGAGCGGGGTCTCTGAGCTGCGGGAGGAGAGCCTGCAGGGCTCCTGGGTAGAATTGCACTTTTGCGATAGGGGGAACAGGAGCAATGTTTCAGCCTCAGTTTCTGTTTATAATAGTGACACAAAAAGAATATTGCTGGATACACAGCATGGATCTAGATAGAGGAGCTCCAGGAGTTCTCACGGTGACAGCCCCCTCACTCACAGACACCATGTGATAGTAATAGGGCTTAGACACAGATACCCAGAGCATTGAAGAGAAAGACAGCTCTCAGTCTGAGTAAAACTGTACTGAGAGAAGAAAAGAGGTTGAAAGAATCTTAAAGACAAATTCAGATTACATATAACATTGGTCAAATTGACCAGAAAATATTCCCCCAAGGAAGTTCTTCTCTAAACACCTGAAAGTGCAGTAATACTCTCAGCATGAGACACACAAGTATTATGAAGAAAGAGAGCTTATTCTGAGCAGAATTTCCACCTCTGCTGCTCTCCCATCTGCTGGCCATTGGATTGGGAATCTATACTGTAACACACCTGACAACCTCCACGGCACTTTTTGATGAAGAATTGGAATTCGCTCTATTCACATAGTAGAGTTATATCAGAGACTGCAAGATAGCTAACTAAAGAGCTACTATGATTCTTGGGTGGCCACATCACCTGCATTTATTTGTCCCAGAATAGTGGCATTCCTAATTTAGTAAAATAAAAGAATAGGCTGTAAAATTATGTTGACCTATAATTATACCTATAGGATCAATTAATAAGCATGGCAGGTTAATATCTACTATAGCAATGTGGTAGTAAATTTTCTTTGGGTATTAAATGTAAATGTCTACATATAAATAATTTTAATATACTAGTCATAATGTATATATTTTTAAAATTATCTGTAAGCTGAATTACAATATTTTATAATACTTTATATTTCAAACAAATTAATACTTATATTAAAGTTATATAAACTTAATTCAAACAAATTAATACTTATAATAAAGTTATATAAACTTAAATAAAGCTATAATGCTTTATATTTCAAACAAATTAATAATATTAATATTAAAATTACTATTTAAGAGGTTTATTCAAAATAAATATTGTGGCCTTATAGTCACACAATTGTAGAAAATACTATTTAATTTACATGGATGCATGTTGTCTACTAAAGACTACACAAAACTATGCTAATCTTTCTTAAGTAATAAGTAGAAACCAAGGCACAGCTAAAAATTCCACTGCTCAGTTTATACCCTAAACTGTTCTTGCTTTTGCAGCGTTAAATACTTTAGGCTCCAGATATTATCGCCTTTAATATAATCGCCTTGGATGATTAGTTTTCTGTTGGAGAAACTTAGTGTCTTTTACTCTTCATTACTCTGTATTGCTGAATTGAATCCTATTCTTTGTGCTCAACTTTTGTGTGACCTTAAAATGAGCTTTATTATTCTAAACAAATCTGTGTCTTCTTTAAAAGGCTGAAAATGGGGGGGAGGGGGAAAAAAACCAAAACCTTTGCCAAATCAAAAGCAAAAACAAAGTAATGGTTCTCAGGTCCTAGGTAAAGAGAATCCTGAGTCAAAAAAAAAAAAAAAAAAGTTAAGGTTTATTTAGCTGTTAAAATAATTTGTATATATGTATATTTCAAAAGAAGCAAAGAAAAATGTACATGTAGGCTAAATGCTTTTTAAAGAAAAGCAACAGCCGGATTATGGACATGATCTTCAATTTCCAGACATCTGAATTTCAGTATACACTGCATTTAGGTATCTAATGGGTGATCCTGGACACACTGTGTACACGTAAAAGAGAGGCTGTGGGGAAAAATGTAGAAAAGAGAAAGGAGCCACCAAAAATCCATGAGTGGGGGAGAGTAAAAGGTAGGTGGAAGGACTGATTTGTGTTAAAGATAATGGTCTAGGAGAGGCTATACTCAGAATTACTCCTGTGTCCATGCAGGCAGTTGAGATTATTAACAGGTGGTGGAGAGAACAGATTGCTGCTGCAGATTCAGTGTCTGAGGGTAGAACTAAACTAGGATACCCATGGGCACTTGTGTAGGTTTTTGGCAAGAAACTAGAAGAGAAGGCACTGTGATGGGATTGCTGAGGGCGGTACTTAGTTCTGGGAGGGGCATGGCAACATTAATATCTCCTAAGAGTATGTTTATAAGTGAGTGAAATGTATGTGATGGTAGCTGTAGGCGAAGGGGGTCTGTTCTGAAGTTTTTAGTCCCCTCTCACCCGGGGAGAAGATCTGGAATCACAGGAGAATGTGCAGTGTGACAGCCTATATACAGGAGAAGAGAGCCTTTCTTCCCCAGACACCCAGTCTTTCTCCAGCTCCAGCCCCTGTGATATCTTCTTCTTTGTTCTTTCTTTTTCTTCTTCGTCTTCTTCTTTTTTTTTTTTTTTGAGACGGACTCTCACTCTGTCGCTTAGGCTGGAGTGCAGTGGCATGATCTCGGCTCACTGCAACCTCCACCTCCTCGGTTCAAGTGATTCTCCTGCCTCAGCCTCCTGAGTAGCTGGGACTACAGGCACCCACCACCATGCCCGGCTAATTTTTGTATTTTTAGTAGAGATGGAGTTTCACCATATTGGTCAGGCTGATCTCAAACTCCTGACCTTGTGATCTGCCCACCTCAGCCTCCCAAAGTGTTGGGATTACAGATGTGAGCCACCGCACCTGGCCGATGTCTTTCTTCTAACACTACATCTGTAGAGTTTGAGGAACACAAAGCAGTTCTCCAACACCAACTAGTTGTTTAACATTTTACATCTCACACCACCCAAAGTCCGCACAGGCCCTAGAGTCCAGTGCTTAGTCCCACAACACTGCTCTTACAGCAAATGCCAGTCACAAACTACAAGTACCCATACATACTTCTGAGCTACTAAGAAATGGGGACTCCCATAACCCCCTTCTCAAGTTTAAGAATTTGATTAAAATACTCACAGAACTCAGCCAAACACTGTACTTGTGTTTAACCATTTATTATAAAATATACAACACAGGAGCGGTTGGAAATGGAAGAAGTGTATGGAAGCTACAGAGCCTGGGCAGGCTGGGAACCCATAGGCAGGTGCAGTTGGGGATAGGATGAAAGGGGATTGGTACAAACTTTCTAAGGATAAAATTTTTATTGTCCTGGGGTTGTTTATAGACTTTGTCAAATAAAGCAAATTCAGATTTAGGTAAAATTTAGATACACATATAGCCTTAATATTATATATGTATTTTTGTAATACTTTGCAGTTTATAATGTATTTTAGTGGCAATCTAAGTTGAAATCTAGTTTATTTTTAGCTACAAATACCCTCCAGGAAGGCAAGTTTTTTCTTTTTTTATTATACTTTAAGATCTAGGGTACATGTGCACAATGTGCAGGTTTGTTACATATGTATTACATGTGCCATGTCGGTGTGCTGCACCCATTAACTCATCATTTACATTAGGTGTATCTCCTAATGCTATCCCTCATCCCTCCTCCCTCCTCACAATAGGACCCTGTGTGTGATGTTCCTCTTCCTGTGTCCAAGTGATCTCATTGTTCAATTCCCACCTATGAGTGAGAACATGCGGTATTTGGTTTTCTGTTCTTGCGATAGTTTGCTGAGAATGATGGTTTCCAGCTGCATCCATGTCCCTACAAAGGACACGAACTCATCCTTTTTTATGGCTGCATAGTATTCCATGTTGTATATGTGCCACATTTTCTTAATCCAGTCTGTCACTGATGGACATTTGGGTTGATTCCAAGTCTTTGCAGTTGTGAATAGTGTGCAATAAACATACGTATGCATGCGTCTTTATAGCAGCATGACTTATAATCCTTTGAGTATATCCCCAGTAATGGGATGGCTGGGTCAAATGGTATTTCTAGTTGTAGATCCTTAAGGAATCGCCACACTCTTTTCCACAATGGTTGAACTAGTTTACAGTCCCACCAACAGTGTAAAGTAGCTAAAGAAGATGTTTGCCACCTTCTCTTTTTGGACTGTCCACCTTGTGCTCTTTGTCCCTCACCTGAGTGCTCTGCATCTTGTCACCTTTCTGCTCACCGATTCTGTTTTGTAGTAGCCTGGAGGCTGCCCCAAGAAAGAGGCCCCAAACAGTTTAGCTTTTACTTTCTCAGTGATCCTCTGACTTTTAGCTGATTGCTTATTTAACTTGCCATTGGTCCAAGTGACACTGAAAAAAAGAGATGTCTTGGAACCTAGTATTTTTGTACCTTAGTTATCAGAAAAGATCAGCAATAACCTCTCCATCATTATGACTAGGAGTTGAAATGTGGTATTTAACAGCCCTACATGATAGGATCAGATATGCCTGTTTAGTGACAGCCTCTTTTATGACAACCGCCTGCAAACAATTAGCCTCAAGATGGAGAACATGAGACTTTTTCTTAACAGTTTTCTCTCATTTCTTAACCTTAAGGTCATCTTTGATGAGCTGATATAGGGCAGCTGGACACTACTTTCTAAACCCAGCATGTCACTTTTTTCCTGAAAGAGTTTTGTCATAGCAGTGTGAAAATGGACTAATACATTACAATACACAAGTTATAGCCTCCCCATTTCCCCTGTTCGGTCTGACTCCCTTTTTTGCAGCTTAATTTGTTTTATAGAAGAGAAACTAAATAGGAGGAAATACTTTACATAGAGGCTTCTCTGATGCTTGGTCAGGATAAAAAATTTAAATGGGTTTCTATATGTTTGATTGAGGAAAAGACAAAATAGGGATGGCAGATAATTGATTACCCTTTTAATGCAAGTGCCTCTTAATATTAGGCTTTTCTTAGCTGGGGCTGAACTCTCCCCTGCCAGTCCGAGCACCCCATAAGAACACAGTCAGACTCCTTCCAGTTCTGGTGAGGTGTGCAACATGTTATTAATTTCTTCTAGTTTTCCAGAGCTTTCTAGTGTCCTGTCATCATCTTCTCCCTGCCCTTCGAGTCCTGGCTTACATACATACCACACTCTTGAAACATCCAAGCTTCACCAGAACAACATGCAGTGGGGCCTCTTATCAGCTGGCAAAGTTGAGTGTTTGCCCTCTCTGGGAAGTAACAGATGATAATAGGGATACTATATAGGTATATGTACCCCTTTCTATGTCTGAATTAGCCATATGCAAGGAAAAATTAAAACAGTTTTCAGAAGTTCCAGGAAAATTCATAGACAAATTTGAGAGGCTAATCTTGATGTATGATCTGACCAGGCAAGATTTGCATATATTTATGTTCACCTGCTGCATGGTAGAAAAGCAGTGTATTATGGGAGTGACTAGAGCACATGCTAACAGGGTGGCAGCCTGCAACCAGGGACCTGACACCTATCAAGTAGGAGGCACAGCAGTGCCTGACTAGGACCCAAAAGAGAACTAGAATCTAGAAAAGGGAAATGAATTAGGAAGAAAGTGGGACATAGAGAGAAAAAATTATGATCATTTGACTCCTTGAAGAAATAAAAAAAGTGTGATAAAGCTTTTTAATTTTTATAAAGTCTAGAAAATTGCTCAGGGAAAAGATAAAAACCTAGCCTTATTACAAGGGTGGATAATTTAGACTTTGAGGACATACACTAACACTGACCCTGACTCAAAGAAGGGATAGGCATTGCTAGGAGTTTATTTTATAGTCCAGTCTGCTTCTGATATCTGCAGGAAGCTGCCAAAAGCAGCCTTAGGCTTCCAGACTCCCATGGATCAGATTTTAGACTTGGATTTTGCAGTTTTCCATCACAGGAATAGGGCAGAGAAAACATAAAGCAAATCTCCCAAGAGGCCCAGCTTCTAGCTGCAGCCTTGTGCTCTCCACGACTTCAGAGGCAGCCCTTTAACCCCTGGCCCTCACAGAGGAAGTGAGAAGGTAAAAGTCCCCAGTCTGTGCCTCTGGGCCACTGTGCCTTGCATATAAATCAATGTGCCTTCTGTAAGAAGGTCGGCCACTGCCGAAGGAAATGCACTGTGCTTCCAAGGGAGCCATCATCAGAGCCCAGCAGACTCAAAAGTCGTAGGGCCTGATACTTCCTACCTCCACTCCCATTGGACTATTATCTATCAAGAGACGTAGGGGCCTCAGGTGACTCTTGAAGTGGCAGGTAGGAGCATTAATTTCTTATTAGATATGGGAGCAGATGACTCTGTCCTGATTCAATACAATGGGCTCCTGTCTTCTCATGATGGACAAGCCCAAAAACACTGCTTTTCACATCTTCTAAGTTGTCCTCCAGGGCCTCTGGGCTTCTCACCTGCCTTTTTAGTACTGTCTGAATGCCTGACCTCTTACTGGGGAGAGGTTTATTGACTCAGGAGACCAAGTCATGGTCACCCTCACAGATCATAAAGCATAGAGAGTGTTACTTTTGTTCCTGACCCCTCAGGGGAAAAAAGAAGTTAAGAATGAGCTGTCACATTTACCACCTGAGGTGTTGTCTCAAGTAAATATTGAGGTTTGGGCCACACAGGCTCTGGGAAACTCACTACACACCTCCTCCATTCAAATCCAACTTCAGCCTAGTGCTCCTCACCCTCAGAAGAGACAACACATTTTAAGGCAAGAAGCATGAGGGGGAAATTCAACCCCTTATTGCCAAATTCTTGCAGTGTGAATTACTAAGGCCGCGAGAGTCTCCTTACAGTACTCGCATGTCACCAGATGAAAAGCCTAATGGCAAGTACAGATTTGTCAGAAACCTTAGAGCATTAATAAATGCAGTTGTCTCCATACACCTCATTGTCCCCAATACTTACCAAGTCTCAGGGGATGCAAGCTGGTTTACATTCTTAAATCTGAAAGATGGATTTTTCTGCATCTTATTGCATCCAGATTCATAATATGTTTGCCTTTGAATGGACTGATCCAGATACACATTCAGCCTCAAAACTAACGTGGACAGTCATCTCTGAAGGGTTCTGGGATAGCCCCCACTTATTTGAAAATGCTCTAGCTAAGGACTTAAGAAATCTACAGTTGGAAAGGGACAAAATTATTAGTATGTAGGTGACTTGCTCATTGCTAGCTCAACTAAAGAATACTCAAATAATAATACTGTTAATTTGGTAAATTTTCTGGGAACTTGCAGATACATGGTATCACCATACAGGGCACAGATTTTGACTCAAAGACTTAAATATTTGGAATCTATCTTAACCTCTAGAACTGATCAACATCCCTAGAAGATAAAAGTTATTTTAGTCATCCAAGGGTCCCTGCCCAACAAATGACTGTGGGCTTTTTAAGGAGATGGCTGGGTACTGCTGTTTATGGGTACCCAGATTTGGATATGTAGCCAAGCCTTTATATGATACACTAAAGGGAAAGATTTAGAACTCCTAGAATGTAATTAGAACTGCAAGCAAACCTTCATTACTCTCAAGGAGAAATTGGGCTCTGCTGCAGCCGTGGGAGTCCCCAAGTTAGATGAACCATTTTTTCCTTTATGTAGCCAAAAAGCAAGGCATAGGCCTTGGGTAATCTTGTCCCAAAACTGGGGGACATTCCAAGGCCAGTAGCCTAATTTTCTAAGCAGATAGACCAGGTGGCCTCAGGGTGGCCTTGATGTCTTAGAGCTATTGCTGCTACCACTTTTCTAGTAGGCAAAGTTAATAAACTAACATTAGAACAGCACCTACAGGTTTTTGACCCCACACCAAGGGAAGGTGGTCCTAGAAGATAAAGGGCACCAGTGGATAATAGGAGAATATTTATGAAAGCATCAGGCCTTATTGCTAGACACTCCAGACATAACCCTTAAAGCCTGCCAAACCATAAACGCAGCTACCTATCCGCCAGAGTCCACAGGTGCTCCTAGCCTTTCCGGCATACACGTTGTATTAGTCTATTCTCATGCTGCTAATAAAGACATATCTAAGGCTGGATAATTTATATTTAAAGAAAGCGGTTTAATTGACTCACAGTTGCACATGGTTGGGGAGGCCTCATACTCATGGCAGAAGGCAAATGAGGAGCAAAGTCACATCTCTTACGTGGCAGCAGGCAAAAGAGCTTGTGTAGCGAAACTCCCCTTTATAAACCATCAGCTGTAATCCCAGCACTTTGGGAGGCCAAGGCAGTGGATGACCTGAGGTGAGGAGATCGAGGCCAGCCTGGCCAACATGGTGAAACCTCATCTATACTAAAGATTAGACAGGCATGATGGTGGGCGCCTGTAATCCCAGCTACTCAGGAGGCTGAGACAGGAGAATCACTTGAACCCAGGAGTCAGAGGTTGCAGTCAGCCGAGATCATGCTACTGCACTCCAGCCTGAGCAATGGAGCAAGACTACGTCTCAAAAATAAATAAATAAATAAACCTCCGATCTCACGAGGCTTATTCACTGTCACAAGAACAGCATGGAAAAGACCCATCCCCCGATTTGATTACCTCCCACTGGGTCCCTCCCACGATATATGGGAATGATGGGAGCTACAGTTCAAGATAAGATTTGACTGGGGACACAGCCAAAGCATGTCACAGATTATGAAATAAATTTACTCTAGGAGGCCAGACTTAAGAGAGATGAATCCCTTGACCATCCCAAAGAAGAGTGGTTAACAGATGCAAGTTGTTTTATGCATCAGGAAAACAGGAGGGCTAGATATGCTATTATTAGTCAGCACAAGAGAGTCAAGGCACAAGCCTTGCTGGCCTCTACCTCAGCTCAAAAACCTGAGTTAATTGAACTTACTAGGCCCCTACAGTTGGGAAAGGATTTAAAAGTTAACATTTACACTGATTCCAAGTATGATTTTTTTAGTGCTTCATGCTTATGCTGCAGTTTGGAATGGGTAGGGGACTCCTGACCCCCAAGGGCTTTTCCATACAACATCATTCAGATTTTGAGCTTGTTAGAATGCTGCTTTGCTGCCAAAAAGTGACTATAATTAATTGCAGAGGACATCAAAAGAGAGACTGACCATGTAAAAGGAAATGCCCTTGTAGATGCCACAGCCAAGGCCCCTGCACTGAAAGGGCCAATGAAGCTTATGGGTGTGCTAGTCAGCATACATAGAACTGGGCCAGAACACTCTGAAGAAGAACAAAAATGGGCCAGGGATTGCATTTCAGTCCAGGGCCCCTCTGGCTGGCTGAATGATGGTAATAAATTACTAATGCCAAGTACCAATCATAGAAATATAATTCAGCACTTTCATGATTCTTTTCACTCTAGAAGGGATTCTTTGTTTTTGTTAATATCTCATTTGTTTATAGGGGTAAATCTTTTCAAGGCACTAAAACAGGTGACTCAGCACTGAGAGCTTTGTGCCTGACATGACCCAAACAGCCAGCAATTTTCTCCTTCTCCAGTTAAACCTGTCCAAAATTGAGGAACTATCCAGGTGAGAACTGGCAACTCTAATTTACTCAGCTGTCTTTCTACAGGAGATTCGTATATTTGCTAATGCTCACTGATACCTTCACTGATTAGATCGAGGCATTTCCCACCCCATCTGAAAAATGTTTGCCAGAAGAAATAACTCCTCAGTTTGGGTCATCTAAAAGCCTGCAAAGTGACAATGGCCCATCTTTCACAGCAGGCATATCCCACACCTATCCTCAGCTTTAGGAATCCAATATGACCTTCACTCTGCATGGCGACTGCAGTCCTCTGGAAAGGTGAAAGGGCTAATCCCACTCTAAAGAAGACTCTAGCTAAATCAGAGGCCTATCTCTAACACCCATAGCTTACCGTGGGTTTGAACTGCTCCAAAGTCAAACTTATAACGAAGTCTTGTTGAGTTAACATACGGAAGGCCTTTCCTAACCACAGGTCTCCTAATAGAGGACAGGACTCATCAATTACAAAAATATGTCCTCAATCTAGGACAGGTGCAAGGCATTCTGTGAGTGTTGAAACTGGAGTCCTCCTCTCCCACATGGGAGGAAAATTCAGTTTCAGTTCAGCTAGGGATTTAGTCTTAGTAAAGACATGGGAGGAAGTTCTCCAGCTGACCAACTTTCCCCAACGTGGAAAGGACCACAGCAGGGACACCTGAGCTCCCCAACAGACGTTCAATGCCAAGGGATGCACAGGTGGGTACACCTGTGTGCAAGTAACGCTGTTGCTTATTCTGGGAGCCCAATGTGAGGCTGGGGAGGTGGGCGCGGGGCTATTTCAGCCTTGGCGGAGGGCGGGCTGGGTCACTGCGCATCTGCTCCTCCTCCTCGCGTTTCTCCTGCCGCCCTGATCCCGCCTTAGCCATGAGGGAGATCGTGCTCACGCAGGCCGGGCAGTGCGGGAACCAGATCGGCGCCAAGGTTGGCAG